ATTATTATTATTATTATTTTGAAACAGGGTTTCCCTAAGTTGCCTAGGATGGGCTTGGGCCTTTGATTCTCTTGACTCAGCCTCTAAAAATGCTGGTATTAGAGGCATACACCATCACGCCCACCATACCATTTTAAATGACAGTGAACATAAGCTAGTTAATTGAAATCTATGTAGTGGTATGCTGTTAAGACTAAAACAGAAACTAAAAAGATTAGATTCCTATAAAAAAGACTCATTTTAAAGTTAATCCATTATTATGGACACACCATGCAAAATGATGAATGGATAAAAATGATGTGGTATTTTTATACAATGGAGTATTATTCATCTATAAAAGAAGATAGAGTAGAGGCTTTTGTACATAAATGGATGCACCTAGAGACAATATTGTAAATGAAATTAATCAGATCCACATGTGCAAGAATCATATTGTCTCACTAGTGTGAGAATCTCAAAGAATAATAAAAATCTAAAAGTTACAATGGATACTGTGAAAGAGACAGAAGTTGTTCAGTGGGAAGGAAAACCTGGGATGAGGAAAAGGACAAATGAAAGAAGGGGAAAAGATATATTTAGGTATATATGCAGAGTAGTTTGAATAATTGCATTGTTAATTTCTGCTGATCCTTTTTAAAAATTAATTTTATTGAGAAAGAAATAGCAATGAGACAATTTCTGTCACAGAAGCCGGCTCAGCATGCTTGGGTTGGGGCTGGTGTGACATAGGGTGCCTGGCAGATCCCCGATCCCTGCATTTGCTTAATCAGGTGCTTAGTCTACTGAGCTATCTTGCCAGCCCTTTATTGTTTTCTTTGTTTGTTTTAAAAGATTCTTAGATTTTTATATCTGATAATCTGAATAACTAGTTTGAAGATAGCATGTGATATAGCAGCCACTGTTGAATTCCTATTAATTTGTTTAGTAAAATCTTATATCACTTGTAATGCTGTTTTTTTTAATATCGCTGTTTTTTTTTTTTTTTTTTTTTTGGGTGGTATCAGGGATTGAATGCAGGATCTTGCGCTTGCCAGGCAAGCACTTCTCTACTGAGCTATCTCCCCGGCCCCTATTTTGTGTTCTTTAAAAGAAAATAATATATTCCCTATTTAGTTCTGCACAATGCTAAACTAAAATAATAACTTGTGGAGTATCACTTGACCACAATGGAAAGTCTACTGTTTTCTTAAAGACTCAGGCTTTTGTTAGATTGATTTTTGAGATTGTCTTTCTTTTTGTATAATAAAGCAAGTTTTACTTTTCCACTTATTATCTATGTAGCATTTATATACATTATATAAAGGTGTATTGATTATAGAACATAGGCAAGTCTTGCATTTAATAATATGGTTAAGTTTGAAACAAGCTAGATAATACTGTTTTAATTTTCTTTCTGATACGAGAAATGTTAAAATGATTAATCAAGTCCCTGTATGTATGTTGACAGTAACAATTTTCCTTTCTTTCTTTTCTTTTCTTTTTTTTTTTTTTTGTGGAAC